TGTTTGCAGTAGCTAAATGGTTCCCCCCTCCCCTCTCCCCACCTATTTCTTAAGGCTATAAATCACAAGGATAACGTTGGTATAAGTTTTTTCTAAACAGTAATCTCATAAATTGATCCCTTGGCTTTCGGATACAGTCACGTTCTTCTTTTGTCAGTACTCTGATTTAGAAGTGCAGACTCACATTTACTCTGATGAATTGCGAGCCTGCCTAAAGAGAATGATTTAAACAAAACCCAGAGATATCTCTCTATAAGTAGGCCAGAAAAGAAATTTAAAAATAAACAATTCAGGGCTGTGAAAATTAAGCCATAATTTATATTTGACATTTTGAGGGTGATGAATTTTATAAATACGTCCCGTTCTCTCGAAAGGAAGAGGTGGTTTGGAACTCTGCAAACCCAGTGAAAACTTACTTTTAGTCAAGGACGTGGGAGCTCAACCTGAATAGAGAAAAGGGATGTTCATGCAAGCTTCCTCCTGGTTTTTTGACCATGCATGGTGCTCAGAAGTCTACTGTACATTTAGTTCTAAGGTCTGAAGGGGGAGCTCCCACCAATAAGCTCCCGCCAATATACACAGGTAGTCCTCGACATATGACCACAATTGAGCTGAAAATTTCTATTCTTAAGCAAGACATTTGTTAAGTGAATTTTCCCCCATTTTATGATCTTTCTTGCATAGTTGTTAAGTAAATCACTGCCGTTAATAATTTAGTAACCCGGTTGTTAAGTGAATCTAGCTTCCCCATTGACTTTGCTTGTCAAAAGGTTGCAAAAAGTGATCACGTGACCCTGGGACACACAACAATCATCCTAAGTGTGAACCAGTTGCCTGAATTTTGATCACTTGATCGGGGGGGGGGGGAGGCTACAAAGATCATAACTGTGAAAAAATGGTCATAAGTCACTTTTTTCAGTGCCGTTGTAACTTTGAATGGTCACTAAGTAAGTCAAGGACTTCCTGTATATGAGCCGTGGTGGCGCAGTGGTTACAATGCAGTATTTCAGGTTAATTCTGCTGACTACCAACTACCAACAATTTGGCAGTTCGATTCTCACCAAGTTCAAGGTTGACTCAGCCTTCATCCTTCCAAGGTGGATAAAATGAGGACCCAGATGGTTGGGGGTAACATACTGATTCTGTAAACCACTTAGAGAGGGCTGTAAAGCTCTGTGAAGTGTTGTGTAAGTCTAAATGCTATTGCTATATGTTTGCAACAAACTTTTGGTTTTTACATTGAAATATATAGCACATCTTTGAAAGAGCTTGACATCTGGAGATACTGGGTATATGGTCTACACACATGTTGCACCACTCATTTAGCCTTCTCTTAGTAGGGCTCTTAGTGGATGCGGATTTGCCACCTAATGTAGGTTCAAAAGAGAGCTATAGCAACTTTGCCTTTCAGAAATACTATGTCTGCTACGGGGTGGGATTCTATTGGTTCGGACCGGTTCGGGCAAACTAGTATCTCCGACGATTAGCTGGGAGCGAACCAGTTCGCTCTGATGATCAGGTCGGCCCGCCCACCCTTCCCTGCACTTTATTTACCTTTATCTTCTCAGCTGATTGGCGTGGCAGAGCGGATCGCCGTGCCTCAGCTGTGTTACTCCCAAGTGGTAACACAGAAGGTTAGTATTTGTAAAACTGCACATGTGTAATTAGCGAACCGGTTGTTAAACCGGCAGTATCCCACCACTGGTCTGCTAACCACGTTCACTACCTTGTCTATGTTAGGCAGCCACTTAAAACTGCTGAGATCTACATACAAACATTTAATGTGTGAAGCAGCTCTTCATTAAGAAAATGAAGTCAAGTAAGAGAGAGCAGTTGTGTTGATTATACTTAGAACAACTTGCTGCTTGAAGTGCTGGTAAGAAATTACCAGAACGAAGCACATGGATTAAACTTGTGGGAAATAGAGTCTATTGGTTTTACAGAACTGTAAGAAGACATGCTAGCTTGTGAAGAAACTACAATGTATATATTTCTAATCTCATGAGCTAGGCCGAAGCCTGAGAATTGTATGTAGGAAGGCCTCTGCTACACTAGAAACCAGTCTTAACCATAATTTCCTGATATGAGTTACTTTAGAGTAACTATTAGGCTTATATACAGGCAGTCCTTGACTTACTACATGTTGTGGCCTGCTAGTGGCCAGCAGAGCTGGCAACAGAGTCAGACAGGGAGGAGGTTGGGGAGGAACTTGGGCCAGTCCTGGGGGCTGGAGAAAGCTCGGACGAGGGCTCTGCGTCAGAGGCAGAGAGGGAGCTAGACAGCAGCGAGGCACAGGAGCAGCTGGAGCCCGTTTCCAGTGTGTGCATACGCAGAGCTGCCAGAAGACAAGAACAACTCAGAAAGCAGGATTGATTTGGGAGTAAAGCCACATCTTGGAGATGATCTGCGCACTTTCCACCGTGCCCTAAAAACGTTTCTGTTTCATCAAGCCGGGCTGACCTGACCTAACTTTTTAAAATTGTTTTAATTTTAAATTGTTAAATTATGGGTTTTAATATAGGGGTGTTTTAACTGTGGGCCAAATTAATTTAATTGGATTTTAATATTGTTTTAAATTTTGTATTTTTTGTATTTTATCTGCTGGCTGTTCACCGCCCCGAGTCCTTCGGGAGAAGGGCGATATACAAATATAATAAACATAAACAACATTGACTCCTCCCATAGGAAACAAAAGAGGAGCGAATGGGGAGGGGGGTTTTGCAGGAAACAATTCGGTCGGTCAGTCGTTTCAAGAGTGGAAAGTTCTGTTCGTGACTCTAACTGTGCCAAGTTTTGCCTTGTGCTGCGTTTGGAAACAAGTTACGTGGCAGCTTGCCAAGCGAGATAAGGTGTGTTGATATATATTCCTTTGAAAAACTGTTTGGACAAGCCTTGCTGATTGTGAATGAAAGTAATTCACAGTCGTGTAAATAAAAGAGGTTTTGTCGGGACCAAAAATCTGCTTCCTGCTTTTTAAGGGAGCCTAGGTCGGAACACTAGTGACTATTCAAAGTTACTTTCGAGACAACCCCTAGGAACTAGGACCATAAAAGATAATTTGTAAATAAGGGCGTATTTGTAACTAGAGTAATGGGAGATGTAATCAGGGGCGGAGATAATCTATTCACTTTAGAAGTTTGGGATAGGTTGTGACAGCATAAGTACTAAGCCAATGAGGAGGTGGGAGGTAAATTTGTAACAGCAATAGGGAATATAATGGGAACATGTTGATGATTTAGGGTGTGTCCACTGTACCTGCGTGTGCATGGGGGCACCCCCTTTGCAAAGTAGTAAATAAAATTACCATTGTTTTCTCTTGCAAGTTTTGACTGGTGATTGTTAATTTCAAAACTAGACAACGAATCCCACAAACTCAAGCAATTGCCTAGATACTCCTATATATAGCACAGGTAGTCCTCGACTTACGACAGTTCATTTAGTGACCATTCCAAGTTACAACATCATGGAAAAAAGTGAGTTAAGACCATTTTTCACACTTAGAAACCATTTCAGCATCCCCATGCTCACGTGATCAAAATTCAGATGCTTGGCAACTGACTTGTATTTATGACGGTTGCAGTGTCATGTGATCCCCTTTTGCAACCTTCTGACAAGCAAAATCAATGGGGAAACCAGTTTCACTGGACAACCATATTACTAATTTACTAACTGTAGTGATTCGCTTAACAACTGTGGCAAGAAAAGTTGTAAAGTGGAGCAAAACTCACTTAACAAACGTTTCACTTAGCAACAAAGATCTGTGGCTCAATTGGGATTGTAAGTTGAGGACTGCCTGTAGATGGTTTAAGTGAACCTTTCTTAACCAATTTTCATTTTTCATTAAAATCTTATTTGGAAACCAGGGAAATTTAAAGTTGTTTGCAGGAAGGGCATTGGGGATCTACTGTTCCAAGAGCGGGAGGTTTGTTTAAGCACATAATCCTTTGCTCAAAACTGATAACTTTTCTTAAATGTGCATCTGACTAAAAGATTGTATCGTCATCAAAACCCCAAATGTGCTTTTTTCAAGAGGCAACGGGACTTTCTATGAAGAAAGGTGCCTCTTGAAAAAAAAGCACATTTGGGACAACCATGACCTGGATGACTGAGAATCTTCATAGACATATAGTCATCAACACTTGCAAAAAATGAGAAATCTAGTGATTAAATCTAAAGAGAATTGTGTTCCCGTCAATCTGAACATAACTTTACCTGAGTAGATCTGAAAAATGCTTAACACTCTGAAAAATTTTATAGAACAATTTAAGGCAGTATTTTGCATTCAAACATCGCAGAAACGATGGACAGAAGCGTCAACCGATTAAAGTAGTTCTAATAATTATCTGCCATTTGATCACTTGGTCAGCTCATTAAATTTAACTTTGGGGCGATCAACTGCAGATCGTCAAAAAAGAAAGAGCACAAAACCTCCGAATGTAGTTGATTTGTAAGGAAATGTATATAACAATGTACAGTTTAATATACCATCAGTTGTAGGCCTTCTTTTCTTGTTCACATTTTATGAAACAGGGACTTTTTACCAGAAGTCAAAACTGATTAACATTTGATCCTGCTTTAATCAACTAAAGATAAAATTCAGTTAAGCCAATTAAGGATGCAGTCTTAGATGTAAGCCCTATGGAATTAGGAGGATTTCCTTTTGAATGTAGGATCAGGCTGCATCGTACATTGGTTAAAAGATAGATCTTATCCAGATTAGTAATAAAATACTTAATTGCTAATACTTTATATAAATAATATGAAAGCCAATTATTATTCACTAAATGCTCGTGAACAAGATATGTGCTCGTAAATCCCACGGAAATTAATTAGGATAAGTATTTCATAAGTACGACATTATAATATTTCTTTCTTGATGTTTTTTTTTCTTCCAGAGACAAATGGTTCACAATTGGTGATTAAAATGCCATTAAAACATATCAGAAGATGCATTTTCCTTCTCACCTCTAGTGCTATGATGAAATGGAAGGGTCTCATACCTCTTTTGAAGGAACCCGTGAGCCTTTTCTTTTATTCCACCATGTTTCCAACATGGCAATTAAGCAGGAGAGAACAATCCCAGCTGCCAGAATGCAAAAAACACCTGCAAAGCTTTTTATGTCCAAGGCTCCCCCTTTATATTTGGGGTCCACAGAGGAGTGCAGATCACACTGGGAATTCTTTGGCCACCACTTATGCTTCAGTAGATCCATGTGTCCATTCTGCTGAAGTTCTAGAATCCTTGGAGAGAAATCACAGAGTCATGAATGTCTTCAAGAGCCATAGAACATTTATACAGCTGTTGTTCTGGTCCAGAACAGAACCTAGCAGAAGCAAGAAACAGACTCCTTGTCACGAAAAACCCCTCTTTATTTACCTCTTGTAAATTAATTGCATTCACCCACCGAAAAGTTAACTGCAGTACAGACCTTGCGATAATTGCAAGGCCCTGAGCTCCCAGCCAAAAGGCTGCAAATTAAGTTCTGACAAGCAGTCTTTATGGCACGAAACACAATAGCAAAATCTCCAGAAATACGAACTGTTGTCTCCTACGATAACCACTCCCCTTTCCTTCTATTTATTCCCCAGCCAAGGAGGGGCCATTCAGTGTCCACGTGCTTTGTTTCCCACGTTGACTCCTTGTCCACTATTGTTCTCTCCTAACTGCTCTGCACATATGTGCATTTGGAACAGGCCCCAGATGTTCTTCATCCTCACTCATCTCAGCCTCTAAAGGCAGCTGCCTCTCCGGTGGTTGAGAAATGTCGGATGTCCCTGGCTCTATTTCTGTGTCCAACACAGAGCATCCATCAGAGCCTTCCCGAGATTCCAGAACTGCCCAAGTTCTCCCAATCTCCTTCTCATCCGAATCTGCCACCAGCTCCGCTGGCAGCTGGCAGGCCACAACAGCTGTATTGTTTCGGACACCGGAAAATCTCATCCATGTGAAAACATTCCTGATGCCGGCAACCATGTTGCATCAACTATAATCCAGACCCCTTAAGTATAGTCATACTGACATCATGAGATGACTGCATCAATGATAACTATCATGATGAGCATTATAAATTGCCAGACATATGTCCAAACTGTGGAATGATTCAAGAAGCAGTTGTATAAAACCACTTAGCATTCCAATTCTAAATATAGAAGTGAGAATTAGGTTTGAACTATTAAAATATAGAGTTTATAGAATGCCCACAATAATTTAGTTTCATTGAAGTTGCTGATGCTTAAATAGTTTTAACACTGATACTACGGGTCGTAACCAGGTTCAGTCAAGCACTGTTGAAATGAATGGGGTTTAATTTACAATGTCAGTATATTGCGGCCAACAATCTGGGTCCTCATTTTAACAATTTTGGAAGGATGGAAAGCTGAGTCAACCGGAGCTGGTCAGGATCGAACTCCTGGCTGTGGCCAGAGTTAGCCTGCAATACTGCATTCCAACCACTGTGCCATCACAACTCGTGTGTGACTATACCCCATATATTTATGAGGATATAAATAATTTCAATACTAGCACACAGAGGGTGAAAGCAGCTCAAAAAGTTTTAGAAGTGAGATAGGAAGTCACTGTATCACTTGTTTCAAAGCCCATCCCAGTTTGATTGCATAGTGATATATGTTTTGTCAACTACATGAGGAATACAGCTGATCTGATCTTATAGTTTGCGTTACTTTACATGGTGAGTGAGAAGGAAGGCTTGCTTGCGCTAATTCAGGGGTGTCAAACTCGATTTCATTGAGGGCCATATCAGGGTTGTGTTTCACCTTGAGGGCCCAGTGTGGTGTGTCCAGATCAACATCACTCATGTTGGGGGCACTTGTGGTGGCCCAAGTGCTCTGCCAATGAAAATGGGCTCCTGAGCTCCGTTTTTGGCTGCAACGGCTTCCTGCAACATTCTGCCATCAAAAACAGAACTCAGGAGGGCTCCCCGCGGCCCTCCTGAGCTCCATTTTTGCTGGCAGAAGCACCGTGGGCCAGTCCTTTGCTGTTTCTAGGGTGGCCCCAAGGCCAGGTCTAAGCACCCCACAGGTTTCCATGGTGGCCCCCCAGGCCTTGAGTTTGACATCCCTGTTCTAATTCAATGTTTCTCAATCTTGGCAATTTTAAAATATGTAGTTTCAAGTCCCAGAATTCTCCAGCCAGCGTGCTGGCTGGGGAATTCTAGGAGTTGAAGTCCATACATCTTAAAGTTGTCAGGGTTGAGAAATACTTCTCTAATAACTATGCAACATTCTGGGGTACAAGATAAATGCTTTTCCTTGAGCCATGTCACGTGCTCTCACTAGCAATCACAGCATCAGAAATGCAGACAGTTGCTGTTGCAATAAGCCCAAACAAAGGCATGCTTTGTATTCTATTGATTTTAAGCACCTGCTTTAAATGTATCATATTTAAACCAATTGAACCGCAATGCACTTCAACATACTTCCGTTTAATGTCTTTGCTTTAGTCAACACTCACTTGTTCTAAACGGCAAGCAAATATTATCTCTCACTTATATGTACTTATAAGATTCATAGTTCACACAATTTTAAATACTTTAACAATAATACATTTCACAGTAAATGAAAACAGGTCCCAAATGATAAAAAGGAGACTAAAGATTAAATTATGATGCAGTAAATTTATGATGTAGTAACTACAATAGCATATAAATAAGACAGGGTTGAAAGCAACCTGATCTGTAGATTCATGGTCTATGTGCAAAGTTTTAGTGGCTTTCAGAATGTCTCTCTCTCTCTCTCTCTCTCTCTCTCTCTCTCTCTCTCTCTCTCTCTCTCTCTCTCTCTATATATATATATATATATATATATATATTCATGTATTAACAGCAGCTAGAATTGTATTTGCACAATATTGGAAAAGTGAAGAGATTCCTACTGAGGAGAAGGTGATTAGGAAAATATTAGAATGTGCAGAAATGAATAGACTAACACTAGCAATTAAAGAGAAAGAACAAACTGATTAGTATATGATATGGGAAGCATTTTACCAATGGTTAGAGAATAAAAAAGGAAATTGGAAATAAAGGAAGAAGACAATAAGAAGAAGAATAGAAAATACATTAAGATAGAGATAAGAATAAAATGGCAATTGATAACAAGAGTATAATGAGAATAACCATGTTTAATGTTATTATTGTATTTTTATTAGAAGGTATATTACGAAGGAAATGAAGAGTTACACAAGGTATAATGGTTCAATGTATGTAATTTGTGGAAGGATGTTGTACAGAAATATTTGTACCCAGTGGTGGGATTCAGCCAGTTCGCATCACTTCGGGAGAACCAGTTGTCAACTTATTATTATTTATTATTTATTAATTCAATTTGTATGCCGCCCCTCTCCGAAGACTCAGGGCGGCTCACAATGCATTTAAAATCATTATAAAAAACATTTTAAAATTAAAAACATTAAAACTCATTCACACCATTCATGGCCAGATCTCGCCGGATCACAACTGCTTAAACTTTCTGAGCAGTCTGGTGAACTGGTTCTTGGAAGAAATCATTAGGGCAGAGAACCGGTTGTTAAATTATTTGAATCCCACCACTGTTTGTACCCAGACGACACACTGCTAAAGGAGAGATGAAATGTTTATATTCTTTAAAATGGAAAATAAATTAAAAAACTTTAAAAAAAAAAGAATGTCAAAAAAACAGGAGCCTGAATGGCGTAGGAGGCTAATGCCTCCTAAAGGCAGCATTTAACATCCAGCTGCCTGCAATTACTACGAGTTCAATTCTCACCAGGCTCAAGGTCGACTCAGCCTTCCATCCTTCTAAGATGGGTAAATTGAGGACCCAGTTTGTGGGGACAATAAGCTGACTTTGTATAAATATACAAAAGTATGAAGGCTATTGCTTAACGCATTGTAAGCAGCCCTGAGTCTCCGGAGAAGGGCGGCATATAAATCAAATTAAAAAACCAAAACAAAACACAGCAGAACGTCAACAGGACAGGAATTATTCAGATTTTATGAGAGCAGCCTTTTTTAAAGGATAAGTGGATTCTCAGCCTCCTAAAGTCAAAGCATTTTTCCACCTCCACTCTGGGATAAGAATTTATTAAATTTATTTGCCACTAAATTCCCAGGGACTCTGGGCAGGATGCTCTAATCAGACAGGTGGTATGGTAACTTATGTCTTAGTTATTAAAAAGCTATATAGATTAAAACCAGCTCCCTAGATTGCATACCAAAAAAAGAAGCCTATTGGCAACTAATGTACTTTTCCCAGTGTGGCTCCAACAAAGCTAAAAGGACTCTCGCTTGCCAGCATATGGGCTGCTGTATTTTGTAGCAACTGCAGTTTTTAGATGGCCTTTTAAGGGCAGCCCCATATAGAGCGTCTTGTCAATGTCAATGTCAAAATAATGAGGACATGTAGAGAGCCACAGAGATGATGTTGGGAAGCTAAGCGGAGGCAGATGGTTACATCAACAAAAACATTTGTTAAGCCGGGCAACAGCTACGAGTGTGAGGACGACGCTCGGGATGACTCCTCCCTAATTCTCTGTAGTATAAGAGGGAAAGGGGAAAATTCAGACTTTCAAAGTTGTGTTATTTTTGCCTTGCTCAATAAAATATGCTTTCGGTCAGATTTGTGGAGTCAGCTTCTTGACCTGATTTACTTCACGGGCTTGATAGGATGTGAATGATAGTTGCCTGGGTCCAGTGGTGAAATCCAAACTTTTTTACTACCGGTTCTGTGGGCGTGGCTTGGTGGGCGTGGTGTGGCTTGGTGGGCGTGGCTTGGTGGGCATGGCAGGGGAAGGATACTGCAAAATCTCCATTCCCACCCCACTCTGGGGCCAGCCAGAGGTGGTATTTGCCGGTTCTCCGAACTGCTCAAAATTTCCGCTACCGGTTCTCCAGAACCTGTGAGAACCTGCTGGATTTCACCCTTGGCTGGATCCCAAGATCTAAGAAGGGCTTGTGGACTGTATGAAGCTGGGCAAAAGCTCCTCATGCTATTGTTTTCATTTGCCAGTGGAGTAGGAGCCATGTCCACCCATGAAATTCCATAGCAATAGCATTTAGGCTTATATACCCCCCATAGTGCTTTACAGCACTCTCTGGATGGTTTACAATGTCGGCATTATTTGCATATTGCCCCCATTAATTTGGGTCCTCATTTTATCAATCTCAGAAGGATAGAAGGCTGAGTCAACCTTGAACCCTGTCAGGATCAAATTCCTGGCTCTGGGGCAGAGTTAGCCTGCAATACCG